TGGGTTCATTTAAAATCAAATTAAAAAAAATCTAGGGAATTAATATCCATGTTTTGAAGTTCAATCATTAATTAGTAAAAAGTGCTGCAATTTTATCAAGCTATGAAAATAAACCATTCTTACTTGCACAACAGAAACTACATGATTTATTAGGAAGTTCTTCATGAATGAATATTTGACTTAAAGCCCTTTTTTCGAAGAAATTCCAATATTTCTTTTCGGTTATCCATGCATGAAAACTCAGTTGGAATGCAATTTGATTCCAATAAAATGGAATGAAAAAAGTCAAATTATTATATAAAAACATGGATTCTCATAAACAATTTTAAGTGTGATTTCTTGGAATACATCAGCTTGTTGGCTTGTTCCATTTTTTTATTTTGAATTGAAGTATTTTGATTTCTATCAAAGAATTTCCAATTTGTATCAGAATTATGAGCTGCCCCACGAATATCAAGCTCAATCAACAATTGGACAGATTAAAAAAGGAAATGGTATAAACAGGACACACAATTCATATTTAATCAAAGCTTTTTGTGGATTCCTTTCAATTAAGTGGAAAATATTGAATTTGGATTGTCTAGTTCATCCACAAAAAAATTTTAATATAACTTCAATGACAACATGAATTGAAATACTATTACAATTAACTTTCAGGGAAATATTCCAAGATGACAAGTAGAGCTGGAAGTCATAACTGTGATTTATCTTATTTTTGATGGGTAATATGTAATTTCAACTTGAATCCTTGCCAAACTATTCATTCTGGACCAAAAATCTTTTCACCTTCTAGATTTTTTGTTATCGAAAATGGATGTAAAAATAAAAATCTTAGTGAATTTGATCTGAGATGCCAAGGTATATGTGCATTGTGGAAACTCATCTACCTATCAATTGGAACTTGTTTTGTTTTATAATTCATCCATATTCAGTAGATAAGGCGGCACCACAGACTTGACACACCTGGAATTTGTTACATGAGGATAAGCACAAAAAAAAAATAAATCACAAGTGGACTTAAGTTTGTATGGTGAAACAAACAACCTACAAAGTTTCAGAGAATCCATCCAATGTCCCACATTTCCCTGCATCCCAGCTTTTCTTGATGTGTTAGGTGTGTTTGATATAATATTGCATCACTTCAAGTCTTTTTGTCACTTCTCTTACCAAACCCCACATTGGACTATCAGCACACCATTTATTCACAATCAACACAACACAATCTCAGATCACTCTCATATGCGATAATTCAAAAATTTCCTGCAATGTTTTGCTTGGGTTTTTTTACTTCCCCAGTCATCCTTTGTGATAACTCAACTCTGACAACATATGGTCTCAGAGATGCAGTGTTCCATTGTAGAAGGTCTAATCTACATATACTTTGCTCAAATTATGAAAGGGTTGGTGATCTAGATATCAAAGTAAGCCAAGCCTTATAAGGTCCATTGATTGGTGATGTAGGTGATATGTCAGGACCACTCACACAAGCATCACTTGAGAACACCAAAAAGCGACTGTATCTCCGTCTTTTCTATGTACATGCACCATTAGAAAATTCTTCATTTATTCATGGGTTTGTATTTACTCAATCTCACTGGATATCAGAAGTGAGGCATGCTTTTGACAAAGAAAATCTTGTGCTCAATCACATACCTAGCTACCAGCCTAGTCATTTTTATGGTGTTCCCCCGACCAAAGACTTAGAATGACAACTCTCAAAAGAAGCCACAGATTCAACGCAATTCCAAGGCTGCAAAAAAAAGCTAATGAATCATCAAGTCCAAGCTATACATTTCATTCAACGTAGTGAATCCAATATTGTATCAATACCACTTGAAATATGGAATCATCAAGATAATCAATGGGTGCAAGATGTCTTCAAGGGGGCTGTTCAGAAATGAAATCTGAATAGCACAATCGAATTTGATTCAAAAGGGTGTATTCTTGCAGATGACATGGGCCTTGGGAAGACCCTGACTACCCTATCCACTATTCAACTTTCCAGTCAAGAAGCAATTAATTTCTCCAATAAACCTTCAATGTATAAAATTCAATGCGGAGCTCAGCTGTCAGCTTGCTACTATAGCAGAGACAACCTGTCATAGTACACAAACATAATATAAAATACAAAAAAAGACATTATTACTCACCAGAGATGTTTTGAGATGAATAGTACTGAAAATAAATGAGAAGATCAAATAATAAGGGCATTATTTCTCAATATTCTTAATCTATATGAAGAATAACCTAGGGTACCTCACTCAAAGGTACCCTTTATTTCAACTACTTCATGCGGCAAATCTACATCAAAGATATAGAGTGTACCTCCCAGAAGGAAATGAAATAAGCTTATGTTTATAATCAAATATGCTAATAAAAAGACTTGAAACTGATTTGTTGTTTCAAAAATACATCTGTGTATTGATAACACGTGTGTGGCACATTTCCAAGGAAATAGCCACATGTTTCAGATTTAATCTTCTACAGAACACCTGTGGCACATTTCCAAGGAGATGGTCACACGTTTCAGCCTCCCTGCATGAAGCGCCCACAAGTTGACCCTGATTTCCCAGATGCCTCCTCAGGTATTTAAAGGGCCCTCTGTCCACCCAAAACCAGATTACAAAGATTATTACAACCCACTTTAGATTACCCACCGTCCCAAATGCTTAACATTTGTATCTTTCTGGTAATGTATTGTCTCTTGCTTTAATTCTCTGCCTATCAGAACCTCAAGACTTAAGGGGATTTATTAGTACATAATGGCCCCTTCTTTCTTGAGATTTTTACTACTTTCTTCTGGGATTTAAACCACACCTGTAACCAGGCCCCAGTGTTATCAGGTACCTAAATCCTCTGCTTTTGCACAATACCTTTGAGGGATTAAACAACCCCTGATTCATCAGGCCCCTCTGTTTAAATTATATCAATATTTATTGATATAATTGTTCATTTCTACTATCTAATAACCTTGTAATTACCACTCATTGTTGGAATTACACCCCGGACTCTTTATTCCCAGAGTTCAAACTCTAACATATTAAGTTTTTGCACCACGTGTAGCTAGAAGGCATGCTCCTTGGCATCACGGCGGCTGACATCAGCAACATTAATAATATGCCCACTCTCAACATTAGAGAACTGGAAAAATGAGATCAAGGTACAGTGGGTGGACTGAAATTTTTGGCGCCCATTTTATTTATTTTTAAGGGCCAAGATGGCTTTTTGAGGCTCCAAGTTTTTGGTCACAGGGGCTCTGGGGGCTCACAAGAATGATAGGATACTTCTTTTAATTACTCAAGACACAAAAAGAAAGATAAAAATTATTTTGTTTTTTGACTATTTTCTATCTACAAAAGTAATCTTCTTAAAAATAAGGGAGCTGGAAGGGGGGATGGAGAGGAGTCTGGGAAGAATGATTATAAGAAAAAAACCTGAAAAATATTTTTTATTTTATTTTTTATATTTATTTTTATAATTTTTTATTTTTATTCTTGCTTTTTTATAGGAATGAGCTGAAAAATTACTATCTTACTGAACCCCCCTCAGCCTTGATAACCTCTGCCATCCTCTCTGGCATTGAATTGATTAGGTTTTTGAGGATGTGGCTTGGGAAGTCGGCCCAAGCCTGAGTGAGAGCCTCGTGCATTTCGGGGACCGATCGAGGATGATACAAATCTTGAACATTGCGCTTGAGGACAAGCCAAACGTTCTTGGTTGGGTTTAAGTTGGGGGATTGAGCCGGCCAGTCGATCTTGTTGATGTAAGAGTCCAGGAATTCACGGCTGACACGGGCAGTATGGACAGGGGCGTTGTCCTCCATCAAGCTGATGCGTTGGCCGGGGTTGGCATCCTCGAGGAATGGGATGAGATGCTTTTCGTAAATGTTTTTGACAAAGTTTTTGGCTTTTCGTTGGCCGGGAGGGATGATGGCAAGAGGGGCCTTGGTTTTGCTGAAAAAGGCCCCCCAGACCATGGTCGAGGTCCTGCCGCTCTTGAAGGTGGGTACAAGGTTCTTGGGGTCGTGTTTGTCACCCCGCTTGCGCCAAACGACGACCTGTTTCAAAGATTTTCCAATCTCAAACGATGACTTGTCCGTCCAGAGGACCATTCGCCAGTCTTTGTGTCGCTTCGCAAATTGAAGTCGGCATCTGCGGTGGGTCTTGTTCAGGAATGGCTTCCTCACCGCAACCCGGTTATTGAAGCCCATGTCGTGGGCTCGGCGGCGGGAGGTTTTGGTTGAAATCGGCGTGGTCAGGATGTCTTTGACCTCGGCCATCTTCATTCGGGGATTGTCGTTGAGGACCTTCTCCAGCTCCCGAAGGTCCCGGTCATTGGTCATGCGCGGTCGTCTGCTTCTGGGGGCTGTCACAACAGTACCGCGCTCGGCTGATTGAGTGATGATTGCCGAGATTGTTGTGCGGCCGATCCCAAGCTGAGATCCAATGGCCATCGGCGTCATCCCAGCGTCCGACATGCCAACGATTTTGGCCTTCTGCTCTGTTGAGAGATGAGGCTTGGCATTTCTGTTGCGAACTATCTGAAAAAAACACAACACAATAGAAAAAAAGGTCAGTTTGGATTTGTTTAAGAAAAAAAAGGGACTTACAATGATCAGTAAGACTTTTTGTTCTGTCCCAAGGCTGCAAAAAGATGGTGAAGCGATATGTGGCTTGATTTGGTTCGGTGATTGGAGTGGTCGACCTGGTTGATCACTCCAATCACCCCAAGTGTGACAAGTCAGTGCACCCCAGGTTCACCTGGGATGTCACTGATTTTTTACCCCCATTACCCCGCGCCAAAAATTACAGTCCACCCACTGTACATTTCATTGAAGGCAGTCTCCCTTTCAAAATGTTTTATGGAAAAGAAAGATTTTTGATAAAATTTGAGGATATAGCTAAAGTAGCAGTTGTACTGGCAACATATGAGTCCATTTGATACCAAGGAGGGTGGAAAGCAATCAAGAGGAAAGTAGTAGCCAAGATTCCCATGTGGCAATGGTGGGCTTGAACTTCTCTAGCATTGAATGGTTTCGAATTGTACTTGATGAAGCACAGTGAGTCACTTCAGAAATATTGAATTTAATATATATGATATAATACTGAAATCAAGGTGTAGTTATATGAAGGATCCAAAAACCAACAGGAGCATTTCCCTCTTAGGTTTGAAAGCCCAACGAAGATTATGTCTTTCAGGAACACCTTTGCATAATCAGCTTGGTGACCTCCACAACTTGATAAAGTTTCTTCAAATTGAGCCCTGGACAAACAACTCAATTTGGAAGCAATGTGTGGAAGGACCAGTCCTGTTGGGCAATTCACAAGGAATCTTGAAATTACAGAGTATCATGAAGGGTATCAGCATGAGGCGATTAAAAACAACTGTTCTTGATCTTTCTGAAAAATGTGAAATTACTGTCCACCTTGAACTTGAAAAACCCTGGAACATTAGATACCAGCAGAACCATGCAGCCTTTGCAGAACAGTTTGGGAAGAATCGAATTTCAGTCCAAGGATGGGACTCAATCCATTTTGTTGGGGAGCTAGTCAATTTACGACAGCTTTGCAATCCCCCTGCATTGATTGAAAAAGAAAAAGGAACAGGAGGATACTTCTGGAATCAAAGCTCAAAGATTGTACATCTTCTGAAAGATCTTCCCCTGTTCCTGGCAAGTGGAAATCAAGCACGGGCAGTAATTTTCTCAGAGTTCAAGAGGTTTCTCCAAATGTAAGTTCTTTAATTCCATCTGCAAAAAACAATCAGGATCAAATTTCTGAGCTGTCACTTACATATTTTATGTATTTAGAATTGAAATAGCTTTGAATGAGTGGGGAATCCAATTTACAACACATTATGGAAAGATGGACAACAATACTCAAAGGAAAAATTTGGAATATTTCTGGAGGGATGTATCATGTAAAGTACTCTTGGCTACAATAAAAACAGAGGGTGTGGGGATAGATCTTAGATGTGCACATAAGGTGTATTTGATGGTAAGTTGCGGAAAGATAAATTTATGAATTGTAAAATCTGATGAGCAATTTTTATTGTTAGGAACCAACTTGGAATCCTGCAGTGGAAGAGCAGGCAATAGACAGACTGTACCAAATAGGACAAAAGGAGAGGGTTCAAGTGGTGAGGTACTGCATCAAAAATAGTATTGAGGGGCACATTTTCCAAATCAAGTGGAAAAAAGCAGAGTTAGCAATGTGGTTCATTTGTCTTCCAATTTGAATTTTCTAAGGGGAATATTTTGTGAACTGACTACCCAAATAAAATCAGGCTAAGTGTGCCTCTGTGTGGAAACCTTGAATTCGAGTAGGTGAAGAAATTAATGATGGAGAAAATCTGTGAAAATTAGGTTTAAGGGATTTCAACATACCTACAATGGTAAAACCTTTTTTATGATGGCTTGAAGATCAATTGCAGCTTGAATTTCCAAGAGGTTGATGTCTGTTTCATTGAGTGATGCAAGAAATGTAGGGTTGTAGCAATTGTGAGGGAGTGCAGAGGGTACATTGAGAATTTTCTCCTGTGTGCTGCTTCCTTGGCGGAGTAGCCAAATAGAAACACCGTGCTGATTGTATCTTTGACCAAGATTCTCAGATTTATTTCTTTCAAAGAACTTGTCCAATTTGTGACTGAGTTCTGAAAATAAATTTGATCGCCAAGAGCATTGAATCCGCTGGAAGGTTCCATCAGGAGTTTGCTCTGTGTCTGAGCAGCATGTCGGTTCGGCAAAAAAGATGTTCTGGTGGGAGATTCAATTGGCCAAGAATTTCAGTGTGGTTTCGGGAGAGCTATTGGTTATTTAGAACAAGTCAGTGAGATAATGCTTGATAGAGAGGTAAGAAATCTCATCAAGCCAACAAACCTGGTTGCGCCACTTGGACTTTTTCACTTGGTAAGCTTTCTTTTCCATGGCCTCCTTGGTGTATTTACCCTGTCGTATGTCAGAGCTTTTCCCCATGAACCACCTTTTCAATACAGCCCTAAAATTTGATGGGGTATTGTGTGATAAATTCATGGGGAAATTTGCAAAAGCATTGTGCTTGTGACCATGATTCCAGTGCTTCATTATTAACACAGAAAAGAGTTGATTCCAGTGAGACTCCCAAGGTTTGTGCCAGGAAAAAGTTGCATGGGGGAAGTTGGTTGCTTTTATGTCACAAAGAAACAGATTACAACATTCGGATGATATTCCATGTAAAACATCAGTTTTGATGGGTGAAAGCTTTGTTTGTGATTTGATAGGGTGACTAGTGATGCTGAGAGGCAAGTCTTTGACAAATTGAATCTGTTCCAGTGTGGGTGGAATTTGCCAGGCCTGTTGGTCTAGTGTCTCAATATCTAATAAATTTTTGCAGAAGGAGGCAATTGATCTGGAAAAATGAGACGTTGGAGGAGGGATTATGGCAAAGAGAGCCTTGTTGAGATTTCGGTCATTGGTTGGAGCTTTTCCGTTCTTCAGGCATCTGACCATGTTGGGAATCGATTTTAGGTTTTGTGGAGCTAAGATGACTATTTTCAAATTTGTTTGGGACACTGGGATGGAAAAATAAAAAAAAACAGTATGTCTAACAAAAATATTGATGCTGGGGTAGAGAGGTTTCTGTGAAATAAACAAGCACAAAATCTTTGGTGTGAATAAGTCGTGGAATTTGTACATGTGGAAAAGTGATGCCGGGTAGATATTGATAATACCAGAAAGCTTAACAGATGGAAGAAGAAACAAAATTGCCTGAGATAAATTCTTCAGTACAATCAACACATTTGGATTCCATGTGAAGAGTACAACTATTTGAATTGAAGTGAAGACAGTTGCACCATATTGAGTTTGATAAGACTGCCGGTCTTAGTTGTGCCAGCTTGAGCTTGATAAGACCGCCGGTCTTCTTAATTAGATTTGCATTTGTGACATATTTGTGTAACACTGGGGACATGTCAGACTCAAATAAGACCGGAGGGCTTATCAAATCGGAAATTGAAGGAAAACTTGCATGCATGTCACAAAATCAACATGAAAGGTGACATTTTGTAACATGCATATCTTATTCAATAACAAATATTTGATACTTGTTTCATAGGGGAAGAAGGTAAAGGTTATCATGATCAACAACAAACATCTTATTATACTAAATCATGCACCCCAGGTGGCAGATATGCAAGTGTACTGAGCTTGGTTGCAACCGGGAAACCTATCAAGATACTCAAACCAGTGAAGAGAAAAGAGGCAAGGAATGGTCAGCTTCATCAATCAAGAAGCATTTAAAAGATATTTCAAAAAAGAAAACAAGGGAAGAAAAGGAAAAGGCTGTGGAACCAATTCAACAAGATGTTCATCAGAGTCAAGTTTAGTGATTTTTCATTTTTTCCTGGTCCTCTGAGTTTTTCAACTAACGTTATGGAATTAAACAAAGACCCAAGATCAAATTATAGTCAAAAATCAAACTCAACAAAGTCCAGGAACAAGTGGCTGTGCTGTGGTAGACACCGAATTGTCAAAAGGAAATTCTTTTTGGCTTGTACCTCAACACAGTCTGACAGTAATGCTACAAGCAGCTAAGATGTCTCTGATTGATCGAGTCAGTGACAAGAAGGTATCTGAATTTTTGAAGACTGAAGGAAAGAAACTGAATCAGCTTGCGGAAGAATTTGGGTTCAGTGCATCAAGAATTATCAGTCACATTCCTCTGTCAAAAGCAAAGTTGATGCATCAGCTTGGGTTTGATGTTACATTGGAGGAAGAAATCTGTTGTCCTGAATGCTTCAAGCTTTATCCGATTCCAGAAATCCCCAAAATTGATGATGAATCATTGGCCGAACTAAAAACAACATGTACAGTCTCCTCCCAGATGTTTATAGCCATCTGCTTTGAGCTCCACACCAGCAACCCAAAAACTTCAAGTCACAAGAGTTTGTGGAATGGTGGAAAATGAGTCTCAAAGAATGAATATGAAAAAAATAATAATAAAAAACAAGATTTTGAAATTTGTGAAAATGATAAAAGAAAATCAACTTTTTTTGAAAACTTTAATTTTTTGTTTGAGTGAAAAGTGAATACACAGAGGGCAAGTTTGGAACATGAAAAGAATGATTATAAATGAAAAATATTGATCCAAAAAAAGTTTCAGCATGGTGGGTGGACACCCTGCAGTCAAAATTAGTAGATTGCAGTACCAGAATGCCACATTTCTTGATGAATGACCCCTAGGCACCCTTTTTAGACCACCAAGTAGTCATTTTTTTCCTAATTTTCACTTCTTATCATTCATTCCAGATCTAATACTATCACTTTGGACATTTCATCTTTTCCTGAAAGAAAAATTGAGGCTGTCTGTTTTTGTGATTTTCTCCTTTTTACTTTTTACAAATTTTATAATCTTGTTTATCATTATTATTTTTTCATATTCATTCTTTGAGACACATTTTCTACCATTCCACCAACTATTGTGACTTGAAATTTTTGGGTTCCTGGTATGGAGCTCAAAGCAGATGGCTATAAACATCTGGGAGGAGACTGTACATCAATTTTTTACTCAGAATCAAAGAAGTACTTGAAAACTATTGGAAATGAAGTGAAATTTTGTGACACCAAATTAATGGATATTGAAGGAGCGGGAAAAAAGACAAAAATTTATCCCACTAGAACTTTCAGCTTTCAAAAACTGAAGAACTGGCTTGCACAAAAACTCTGGCTTCCTGGCTTTGAACTTTTACTAGATTCAAATCTCAAGAATGAAAATACCACAGATGGAACAATGAAAGATGTCTGGGATGGAAGTGTGTGGAAGACCTTGGTGGGACCTGCCAACTCAAATGGAATATATACTTCAAAATCTGGAAACCTCGTATTCAGCCCTTACGTTGACTGGTTAAATCCTTATGGAAATAAATCTGGTGGAAAGTTGGTATCCCTTGGTGCAGTGGCCCTTGTCTGCCTCAACTTACCTCTAGCGGAACGATATAAGATTGAAAACATGTTCTTATTTGGGGTTATTCCTGGACCAATGGAACCCAAGTCGGACCAAATAAATCATGTGTTGGAGCCACTTATATCCGAGATGAAGGAATTTTGGAGAGGTGTCTGGTTCACCAAGACACATCAATTTCCCCAAGGCCTCCTAATCTTTGCAGCCATCTTTCCCTTGATTGGTGATCTCCAAGCCATCTGCAAGACAGGAGGATTTTCATCCCATGCAACAACACAGTTTTGTTCCTTCTGAGAGATTAATCTTCAAGACATCAATATCATAGAAATTAACCAATTCACCAAGAAAACACACGAAGCGCACATGGAACAAGTGCAGAGATGGGAAGGAATTGACTCATTTCACAAGCGGGAGAAAATCGCAAAACTAGAGGGCGCACGAGGCAGTATTCTGAATGAACTACCCTACTGGCAATCAGCGGAACATTGTGGAATTGAAGTGATGCACAATTTGCTGTTGGGAAATCGCAAGGACCACAGTTTCAATATCTTGAAAACATACCAGGCTGGGAACGATTTGAAGAAGCGGGTTGAGCTGGAGACAAAATGGAAGAAGAAGGATAGTGGGAAGGAATTGTTCAAAGGGCTCAAGTTTCCAGAAATTAAACAAAAAAAGACACCAGATGGAGATTCTAGCGGCACAGAAGATGAAGGAATGAGGGGAGGGAAAATGTGCCTTCTCAGTTCAAAAAATTTATCTCGCCTATCAAGAATTGAAGAAGATCCAACTAGACCTTCAACACACAACTACGGACTCCGGGGAGATTTTTGCACCAGGATTGACTATTTCTTTGGATTCAAAAAGCTCAAATCCCACCGTTAGGCGCTATGAATTGCATCGGAGGAGTCCAATAAGCACCTCGTCCCTTGGAAGCATTTATCAGTTTGAAGATGAACCAGAGGAGCCACATCAAACAGATGAAGTCCCTGAAACAGAAGATTTGGAGAGGGAAGGAATTACAGTAGAGATGGAAGAAGGTCCTACTGATGAGCCTCAGATGAAAAAAGAAGAATTGCGAGCCTTACAAAATGTGATCTCTCAGACGAAGATACCGACTTGGGTTTCAAGAGTGCCTCACAATTTTGGAATGGCAGGTGCTGGTTCCTTGAAGGCGGCAGATTGGTTGATTCTATATACAGTTTACTACCCTCTTGCCATTGTTCCATACTGGGTGATTGGGGACAACAAACAGAAGGAAAACATTACTGGATCAAAAACAGTGACACACCAAGATGTCCTCAGGGACTCTTTGATAAAACTGATTGAGATTAAAAACATTCTGATGAAGCATCAGTTGAACGAGAGTGACATCACCAATTACTCAAAACTCATTGTAGAATACCAACAAACACTACAAACAGGCTGGCCCAAACAGGATACCAAAGCAAACCTCCACTTATCCCAGCATTATCCAGTAGTCATCAAGAGGCTTGGCCCACCCATAGCCACTGCTGCATGGCCCCAGGAGCGTCTCAATGGCATGCTGGGTAAAATTCCTAACAACCACCATATGGGTATGTTTTTAAGATCGATATTTGTTTCTGTTTTGTTTTTTGAAATTGGGAAAGAGGGCTAACTTAAATTGAAATTTCAACAAATTTTACAGCGGAGATCCACAGGACATTGACCAATACATGGAATAAGAAATCACGGTATTATGGTCTTGAAAATCAATTGAATGTTAGTGCGGAAAATTTATGTAATGAAGATGGAAGCAAGAAGGTTCAGAATACAATGCCAAAAACCAACAAGAAAATTACTCTGGATCCAAAAGTGTACAAACAATGGAGAAGACAGATCTCCCAGATTTACCCAGAACATGAGGATCATGGCAAGCTTGGCAAGCATCTAGTAAACATCAAGAGTGTAGACCTTTTTAATTGTAAATATGTTGCAGCAAAGGATTTTCATCTACCATCACCCGGTAACTCAAATGTGGAGGTGTCTCATGGCGGGGATAGATTCTTTGGATGCATTAGTTTACTATTTGGGGCTTGCTATGATGACAATTTTTGGTTTGTCATTCACCTTTTCACAGCATTGAATAGATGGGATGCACCAAAGAATCCATACAAGGAACTCCCACAGCTCAACACAAGGTTACTCTACTCAACCAAATTTGATAATGCAATAGTGGTGCATCATTCTCATGTGGTGGGTCATATTGCAATCTTAGAAAATGAGGAAGGTACATTTGGGGTTAGCAGGGAGACCATCTCTGCAGTCAGCCTGGGAAGCATAGTGCGTATTTATTTGATATAATTTGTCTTTAATGGATAGCCTATGTGCTGATCAAGTGTTTATTTTTAATGCAGGCATGGGACCAAAACACCCTGTCAGGTGAATAGATGCGGAGAAAATGTGCTTGATGGCAATGACTACATCACTTTATATTAATTTAAATTGAATACTATTTTAGTGCCAAATAGATTTCCTTTCAATTGAGATCAATGTTTGGTGTTATCTTTATTTGTTGCATAAGTAATATAGAGTTTTCTGTTGCCGAGATCTCAGTGGTGATATTGACAAGAAGTTGCAAAACAAAGGGGATATAGTGTGACAAATATAGTAGGATGGTAATTTGGGTGATGTTTGAATATAGTGACACCAAGTATTTTGTTTTTTCATTCAATTTCTCACCATCAACTCATCTCATTTTCCCAGTTGGCACTTGAATCTTGAAGTCCAGGATTACAAGTTCTCCAATCAAATTATTTCAAATATCAGTTTAAATTTACAAAACTATTCTGGTTTGTCCATTGATGTTGGGGATAGATCTGATCAACTGGTGCTGACATACTTTATTTGATTAAACTCACAGCAGTCCTGAAATGAGTGGTGAAGATGATATGGAAACCGGTTTGGAGAATGAGGCAACCAACCGGCCAGGTGGATCAACTTAGGTAGGCGCACCAGGTGGGGGAGAGGAAAGTAATGATGAAGAGTTTGATAAGATTTTGGAAGGTGATGGGGGTGATGAAGACGATGATGTCAAGCGTCTAGCATTTCCTTCACATTGAATAGTTATTGTCGGGGAAGTATTTATGGACAAGATTACTGACCCAATTGCAGTTTTTTAATTGACAGATTCGGAAAGTGAAGCTGAAGATCCTGAGGCAGATCTCAAACATCAGATTGAATGGGAAACCAGGAAACGTAATCAAGACCTCTCTGCAGGAAACACATGCAAGATACGCAAAGTTGTCGTCAGAAAAAAACTCCCCAGTCAGTCAAGTGCTTTATGCAGGTCCATCCGAAATTTCGTCCAGTTCATGATGGGTGTGCCTGCATCCATCACTGCATTCCCTGTCAAGCCAACTCTGAGTGAATGGAATGCTTGGTATCACTGGGCTGAGAACCGCTACAACAAGATGATGAAGCACTTGGACAAATTCACTGAAACCCACAAGGAAACTCCAAAACTGAATTTTAAAAAAATGTATAGCAATGAGGTGGCATGGATCCAGAAAAAAATATCAACCCCACCTTTCACTCCTGCACCTGATGTTTTCAACAGCAATATCAACATTTCGATCAATGTGAAGAAAGTGTCAATGGATAGACTACAAGATGGTATTTCATAAGTACCAGCTAATAAAATACAAGTTAAGAAAAAGAAAGGAAGAAGAAATAATCAATCACCTAAAAGCAGTAGATGACTAAGAAAAAGACAATGATCTAGTGCAGTGCCACAACAAGTAAGAAAGAGAGAAAGAGATCTGAGAAAAGAAGGTGGGTCAATATGAGAACATCAACAAAAAGAGGATCATTGAGAACCTACGAAGAACAAGGAGATGTTCCTTAATAAGAGTGATTGGCAAGTTGTTGAGCGGAAGGGAATTATCAATATAAGAATTGACAGGATTACTTGTTCAAAGGAAGATGAAGAAGGATGTAGATCGAGGATGAGGGAATCGGTCTTAAAGGATGTAGTGAGATAAGATATGTAGCTTTTATTTAAGAAGAGGAGAGAAGCTTTCAGTCGCAAGAGAAGTGACGAGAGAGAAGTGAGGAGCAAAGTCGAGTGATAAAAATCGACAAAGAAAAGAAGCTCGCTGGGGACAAATGATCCTAGCTGAGAGACATGCTCGATAGATAAAGAAAAAGAAAAGGGATCATGCGAGAGAGTTTGGGCGCAGTGATGTCATCACCACGCTATGAATATTTGAAGAGGGATTGACCAAGGTGATGTCATCACAAAAGCTCGAGAGCAGGTTGATTTTGGTATTGAGGGAAAAACAAGATTAAGGGCCAGATAGGAACGATGTGGGGCTTAGACATCAATAGAGATGGTCTCTGGATATCTGTTGCGGATATCCGCTATCCGCTGGCGGATATCCGCCAGTGCCAACGGATACCCGCCAGCGGATGCGGACGCGGATGCGGATGTCCCCTTTCCCCTGAAATCCTGGCGGATATCCGGGTATCCCAGCGGATATCCGCCCATATAGGAGGGAAAAAAAGAAAAAAACAAAGAAAACACAAAAGAACAAAGAAAATAACAAATAAAATAAGGGCCTTAATAAAAAACACAGTTTTTGCTGCACGCAGCACAGATTCTGCGTTTGGGCATGTTTTTTTAATTAATTTTTTACCACTTATTTTTCATGTTTTTTTGAAATTTTGAATTTATTTCCTAGGTTTTAAAATGCGTAGAATTTTGTGGTAATATGAAATTTCTTTAGAAATCAAAGGATCACTTTGAAAATTCCAATCAAACATATTTTTTCTTATAGCTTGTTTCTCAATAATTTTTGATATTTTAATTTTTTTTTCCTACTATTAATATATGAGTTTACCTTGTTTCTTGCATAATTTGTGATGTATACCAATTTTATTTGTATGCAAAACTGACATAACCATCAATTTTCAAACCTTTCAAAATTGAGGAAATAAATTTAAAATTCCAACAAATAATGGGACTCAGGCCTGTAAGAATTAGTTAAAAATACATGCCAAATATAATATTCAGTATTAATTTTCATTTTGATGTAAAATAATTATTACCATAATTTTTTACATGTCTTAAATTGTAGGAAAAAAAATTAAAATGTCAGAAAATATTGAGAAATAAGCTGTAAGAAATTAATTGAAAAAATGTGCTTGATTGGAATTTTCAAAGTGATCCTTTGATTTCTAAAGAAATTTAATATTACCACAAAATTCTACGCATTTTAAAACCTAGGAAATAAATTTAAAATTTCAAAAAAACATGAAAAATAAGTGGTAAAAAATTAATTAAAAAAAGAAAAAAAACTGAAGGCTTACAGGCTGCAAGGACTTCAAAATTGCTTTTTATGCAGCTCCCCAAATCTGAAATTTCCCCAAGGAACATTCATTTTGCACCTTAGGGGTCATTTAAGGGGCGGATATCTGCGGATACCCGCCAGCGCCAGCGGATGTGGATGCAGATGCGGATGTCTGATTTCGCTGAAAACGTGAGCGGAAATCCAAATCCAAATGGATATCCGGATGCGCCGGGGCCATCTCTAGACATCAACAGAAAGCGTGTGAACAGGAAATCCGACTCGCTGGATTTGGTCGAGTCACTTTTGAGTGGAATTCTCAATCTTTTACAGTGTCTCCTTGGAATGCAACACTCGGATAAATCTTGATGAAACACTACTACAAATGGGCAAAGTCACAGCCAGGGACAATTTGGGAGGACGTTTTGTCAATGGAGAAGATATTGGATTGTTGGGTCCGGGGGAAAGGGAGAGAGATCAAAAAGGGAAATGTTGTTGGAGAAAAATCAGCTGAGGAATTGAGAGCTGAGAAGGGTAAAAAACTGCAATCACCCAAATGAAAACAAAAATAAGTTATGATTTTATATGAATTCTATTCCCAGTAAGTCAAACTTAAATTTGATGGCTTCAATTCTCTAAGATTGCAAATTGAAGACGAGATGTAGCCATGAAGAAAATGGGAAATCAGCTGTCACTTGCCCTTCTATTGAAGAATGACACGGTCTCTGATTTGGAGGACCAGCCCCCACTGTCAAAACCCAACCGTCTCATTCCATCCTGGAGGAGTTCATCATTCACCTCCTGTGCGCACAAACTAGATGAGATTGCCTTCACCATGTCAAAGAACATGAATGAAATCAAGAGCGCCCACAAACTGCCCGACCGCAATACCAAAGGGTTCCTTAGAATTGAAATTGAATTCAGTCAAGTCCCTCAAAAGCTTCCCTCAGATGCATATGATGTTTCATTCCTTGAAACTCTATAAACTCTATCAATTGTTCAAAGGGAGCACCTTGACGCACGAGATCCAATTGATTTGGTGGCAAAGGAGAGACTTTTGAACGAGATGATGATGAAGGGTGGATTTGCAGCTTCCAGAAGTGCTAGAGGAAGCATAGGAGATCTTGGATTTGGGGGATTGCAAGGCCCCAGTGGTTTGAGTTGAGTAGGTCCAATTTTCAAATTTTAAAGCATCACGAAAGAAATGTGTACATATTGGCTGACATGCTCTAATTGTGTTTAAGGCAAATTTGTGCCAAAGAAATTACAATTAAACACCTCACATAAAGGTTTATTTCCCAAAAGGCATGGTGATTCATAAAAAAATCTTTCTTATGCTGTATGAAAAAAATCTTTCTTATGCTGTATGAGTATTGCCTTCCTTATCCTGCTTAGTCCATATAATAACATACACACAAAAACAGAATTGCTCGAAATATATTTCTTTGACTATTCCCGATAAATCCACTCTCTCAATTTCAAATGAGTTGTAATACAATCATAATATGTTCTACTATTGATGTTCATGAGAGGTTGTAATCAAACTGGGCTGCCTCACTGATTGAGACAAGGTTCAAATTGTGTTGAGTAATGGATCCGGAAAAGAAAAGTAAGGCTTCCATCTTGTAAACAAGATGATTATTAGAAGCTGGTTTCTGTAAGGTTGCTAGACAGTGTAAGACCTCAGGTACCTACAACTCCTCATGAGTGGGAATCCCAATTTGTAATTTCAATCTGGTCTTTGAAATAATTTGGATTGATAAGTAGAGATGAGAGAGCTTCTTGATGCACCCATTAACATGTGAGTCCAGGCACCGTCTTTGGCCTGACCAGCCTCAGGAAGATTGCCATTCTCATGAAAGACTTCTTAATCCCAGTTGTGTACTCATCACCCTAGGCCTTCTGAGGGCCATTAAGAGCTGGATTTAACTTTTAATTCAAGTCTCACAAATTCCTGAATTGTGCTTGTTTTGCTCAGCCTAATCATAGATGGCTTTTTGGATTCCAGCTTGCTTAAGTACGGCGGTCTTATGCGGGCCAAACCTTGCGCTTGCAGGAAATGGTTGTTTCTCCGCCCACCATTATTGCTAAGATGACTAAGCAAATAAAAGGCAGCACATGGTGTGGACTTGACTCTCCATGATAGCTGAAACTCATTCCCCAGATGCATTATAAAGTCATCCCATTAAGAAATCCCCTTGGTGTATTTGTTCAAAGGATAATAATTTTTTAATGAGAAAGAATGTTTTTAAATGATTAATGCATTCATCATCTTGGAAACTAACCCAATTTCAATATTCATTGGTCCACAAAATATCTTGAGCATATTTTTCTTTGGAAATTTTTTCCAGATTTAACATTCCATTCAGAAGTGAAATTGCCACTACACCCTTTTCAAAAGTTCCAATTTCTTACAATCAGTGGTCTAGAGGGTGTGCATTAGGAAAAATATGATCTTGGGTGGGTATACTATGAACAAGGATATCTTTGTTGTTGTATTCATTGGGTGATGTTTTCTTATATGATATCAAATCATAGACACTAAGAACTTGGTGATTGTTGCGCAGGAGCCCCTTCTTCTTCTCAGATATAAATGCTGAGGGATTAAGCAATTTACATTGCCAAAAACTCACATGCTGATCCAATCCAGTCTGTGCAATGGGTTACCCAAATGAAACTTGTTAAATTGCTAGTGTATAAATTGAAACATTTCAGTCCAAATAAAACTTCTTTCAAGTGTGAAGACCACACAAGAAGCATAGCAAATTAACAAACAGGATAACCAAATTTCTCCAGAAAAATTGTCACACATTTATTGAATTTTTTCCCTCAGAACCAGACTACAAGGAAGCATAGTGAAACAAAGGACATTCCTACACCATAAAATTCACCCATTGAGAATTCACTGAAGGAATCAAGGTGCTATATAGCATCAAGGATGGAACATTGGCTAAAACGTGACAGGAAAATCAGGAAAATATAATGAAGATTACACTTGGGAATTGTAAGCCTTATTTGGGCACAATGATTTGTGCCCTGGAGAAATTTCATATCAACAAATCAGTATATATCCATTTAAGCCTTGACTGAATTCATATGATTTCAGAAAAATTAGCCTTTCAAGCAACGCTGCCACAGATACGGTATCTGCCCGTATCTGCCATGTATCACTATGTATCTGAGCCCCAATAAAAAAAAACTATCTGACCAATCTGCTTTTATTTGCAAGGAGATTCAACAAATTTGGGTTTTGGCCATTCAGCTTTGCAGCATTCTCCATGATACACACAGCGTATCGTATCTGTGGCAGTGTTGTTTCAAGTCAGACATACCCTTGGATGGTGCATAATCCACTATAATCTTCAAACCAATACCTCAAGGGTGAATAAGCCTTTGGTTGGTGCAGCGGTGGGCCGCTACGCTACGCTACGCTTTTGGCCCAAAAAGTGTAGCGTAGCGGCGCTTTTTTTGCGCCAAAATTTCGTAGTGTTAGCGCTTTTGTAGCGCATTTTCGCTACGCTACGCTGCGCTACAGCGCTTTTAGCGGAAAAAGCGGCTAAAACCCGCTAAAAACGGCTGTAGCGCAGCGTAGTGGGCCCTTTTTTGCGGCCCACACGCGTAGCGTTAGCGGTGTCGTGGCGGAATTCCGCTACGCTACGCTTAACGCTAACGGGAATTCCGCTGCGTTACGCTACACTAACCGCTACGGTTAGTGTAGCGGCCCACCGTTGGTTGGTGGCTTCCCTACATTCAGCTTCAGTTCTCCAGTTTTCTATGTGAATTGGGTCAAAGTAAAGCATATCAGCCAATTGTACTGTATTAAAAGTGAAGCAAAATTTTACCTCTGCCAAGGCGCATCCTGCGGAGATTCCAAATCACCAAATCATATGGTACCAAGGCTAGTAGGACACACCGATTGGCACACCAACCCGAAATCCTAGCCTGAAAATCTTCAATGTGCCTGGCATGGCTTAGTTTTATTTGATAATGATTTTTCTCATAATCTACCGGGAGTTGGTCTGGTTCCATTTCGGAAACCATGGTTTTGATAGCTTTAACAGACTCTTGTAGGTAATTAACAACCTCATTGGAGTTGAATAGGTAGCACATGTTAGTCATCTTTCTGATAGTTTAAATGTTTAGCTTGGTAAATTGATTTGTGTGCTGTTTGTGTGTTGGGTGGTCAAAATTCTTAGGTGGACTCCAAAGCTTCATTTATATTGCTTTTTCTAGAAGCAAATCTCACAGGACACACTTGCTACTTTCACCACATAAATCACATGTCCTTGGGTGTATGATGCTTATCTGGTGTCAGCCTTAGAGCCATCCAAGCTGGCCAAAAGACTGCCTAAGTCCCCCCTTTTTCATCCATGTTCCTACAGTAACTTATTCAGCTTAAGATTTTATTACATTCTGACTTCAGAAATGAATTCCCCATTTAATTTCAACCATGGTCACCACTGACCAGTTTTACACTACTCTTCTCCTTCATTGACTTTGTAACATTTCACCGTACCTTGTGAAATACCAACCAAATTGGAATTCCATCTCACCCAACCACATGTACATGTAATGATTATGTCATCCAACTTTGAAAATCCTCTCTGAGCTTGTTGATTCCGCTTCCAGAGGATTTTCAGACTCCAGACCAACTCAGAACCACAACAACCAGAACCAGATCAAGCCATCACTTATCAACCAGAAGTACTCCACTTTTCCCACCTTTCCCACTACACAGTGTCATTGGTGTCATTAGTAAGTAACTTCTTATAAGTTTTAGCTAGCATCTTTCTGCTTGTTCTCTTTCTCAGTTTTTCTCAACCTCTCTTCATTCCTCATCAAACCAAAGCCCTGATCAAAGAAAGCAAGCTCAAGCTTCTATTATCTCAACTCATCCTGTTTGGTAGTACAACTGAAAACTACATAGGTTTCCCTTTAAAGAGCCTTGATCTTTGATCTAAAAAATTGTGGTTGAACTGATTCATCAGTATCAATAACCCATTTCAGTTTCTGTTGATTTGGAGGCGTCAGAGTTAGCTCCGCTTATAACAGCCATCCTACTAAGGAAAGTAAGACTGTCAGCAGCCATCCAAGAGGGACAGTAAGACTGCCAGAACTTAAACATCTTCATAAAATAAACAAAGAACAAAAAGATTATTCTCTTCTTTCCCTCTCTTCTACTTTTACTTGTATTTCCTTTATCTTGAGAAATACATTTAAAAGTGCCCCCCCAAAACCTTGTGTCCTGCTGTCACTATTGAGACCCAGGCTCACATCTGGTAAACATCACACGCTTGGGTGTGTGATGCTTATCTGGTAAACATCACACACTGACCCGTAAAAATCCACATGACACCTCCCAAACCAGTTTAATGAGACTTGTATGGCCTGAAAACTTGCTCAAACAGAACATGAACTCTCAATTCAAAAATGCAGGAAAAATTGAACAATGTGAGGATTTTTCATGTTACCTGTGCCGGGAAATCCCTGAGGCAAGATAAGAGGAATCTGATGCCAGTAATTTGTGCAGTTCAGGGATTGATTGGAACATTTGGGAATGTGGTTGAATCCAAATTTCAGCAATATCCAATCTTAATACAAACCGGTCTTCTTGGATGATGCAATGAACCCAGACAATGTTGGGATTTTTGCTATTTACACCCGTCTGATTTCACATTCCCTGTGCCACGTAAACCATGCAATGCTTTTGTATGCATGCAAGTTGAGATCTTGTTCTCAAAATTCCCAAACAGCCGGTATTGGGAATTTTTTGATCTGAAGGATGCTGTGGCCCCCGTGCTAGACTATGTACAGTGGGTAGACAGTAAAAAGTGGCTGCTTATATTGGATTCCAGAGCTCCCAAACACAGACTTGAAGTTATGAGACTTGTTCAAGTGGTGCATAATAGGTCCCAGAAAATGAATATGAAAAAATGAAAACAAAAAGTAAAGTTTCAAAATTTGTGAAAAATCAAACATAAAACTGATTTTTTTTCAAAAGCTTCAATATTCATTTTGGGGGAGTGGGAGTGCTGAGAGAAAGAAAGAGTGGAACATGGAAAGAATGATTATAACCCAAAAAAATTGAAACCAAAAAAGGTTTGGCCAGGTTGGTTGTCCAGATCGGAGCCAAAACAGTAAATTCTAGTGCTTTACTGCAATGTGAGCTGGTGAATGCCCCACTCAACAGCTATTTGAAGCCATCTGGTAACCAATTTTTCCAAAATTTTCATTTATAATAATTCTTCTAATATGCCAATCTTCCTTTTTCTCAGCACTCCCACTCGCCAAAAATGAATATCAAAGCTTTAATTGAAAAAAATCAATTTTATTTTTTATTTTTCACAAATTTTGAAACTTTATTTTTTGTTTTTATTTTTTCATATTCATTTTTTGGGACCTATTATGCACCACCTGACCAAGTCTCATGACTTCAAGTCTGTGTTTTGGAGCTTTGGAATCCAATACAAGCAGCCACTTTTCACTGTCTAGGCACTGTACAAATCGGAGTTAAACCTTATCAGTAGTTTAAACATCACCTGAACAGCTATAGCATATTAGGTATTGTGTATTTGAAGAGAACAGGCAAACTGGTTCATGCAGTCATTGGGTATGATCTACATGAAATCATGCAGGACTGATAAAAACACTGCATTTCTTCCATGAGAGGTAAGCACAAGCAAGCAGGACTCTCTAGTCAAGTGGGGGGTATCTATGCCTTATCTGGTCTGTATCTATGCCTTATCTTGTCTGTATCCCTTCTGTATCTCATTTAGATGTAATGTGACAAAGATACCATAAGGATAAAACCGAATTAAATTGCAGATCATGAGCTCTTATTAGCCGCCCATGCAGTGGATCCACATGTGATTTGTTACCCTATTGTGTGTCACTTGTGATATTACATCCCCCTTAACCAATCAGTTTGCTGTGTAACTATAGCACCTAGTTCGAATTCTGAAACCAATGATGTGTTTCAAGGGATGATGGTGATCTTCTTGGCAACTCTACTTGCACTCAATACATGTGCAAGTTTTCTGCAAGCCCAACATCGGAGAACACATATGTACCTTTGTGTCCCAAACCATTTTGATGCAAAATTCTCAGTCAGTATGGTCCACACACACACAAATGGAAAGATGATGTACTTTGGGTTTAGGCGGATGAATTTTGTGTCACCACCAGCACCTGAAGCATGAGAGGTTTGCCAACACCTACAAACACCTTGAATGTGTCCATGGCCCCAAGTTTAAAATGTCTCTCTCTTTTTGCTTGAAATAGTCCCCACAAACCATCATCTTGTAGCTTCATCCATCTTGCCACAAAAATTGACTCTAGTTTAGTTAATTCCATAATATTTCTGGCCACAATGAAGACATATCAGAAAAATATCAATGCAAGAAGTATGAAATCCAGAACCACTATGAATTGTTGGATGAAACTCGAGACCATATGATCAGCGTTGTCAATGGATGGGAACCTGAAGTACACAAATCAAATTCTAACAATTATACTACTGTCAGTGCTGGAAGCCAGTACCTTCAACCAATGATGGACTCGGGACATTTGTTTGAAGCCAAAGAGCAACAGAGCAAGGTAAACATAGAGGCCGACCAACTGGGAATCCCTCTTTCTGATTAACTGTAGCTCAGAAAGATTTGGGTAGAGGCAAGTTGTATTATTTGTACCAGTATATTTTGCACAAATCTAACATGTAGAATTTTTACAGAGCCTGTTGTCAGACCATGGAATGATTCCCCATCCCCTGGATCCAGCCCAGGAAAAGGCAAGAAGCCCCAGAACGAAGAGAGCAACAGTACACCTGAATCCTCATCCAAGGGATCTGGAAAAGTAAGTAACGAATCTTCAATCTTACATCTGATATGAAAATGATTATGATTTTACTAAACCTGAATGAACTGCCGCATTCAGGTTGAAATTTGCATTGACTAGTTAATACACATCCAGGTGTTGCGGCCAACTGGGTCCAGCAGAGATGGGTGAATGGAAGGATGTATTTCATCAGAGAGTGAAAAACAGACTGAGAAAAAGAGAAAGAGAAAAGAAACAACAAGACAAAAAGGAACTTACCTGGGTCCAGCAGAGATGGGTGAATGGAAGGATGAGGAAACCATTCATCCACCTTGCTGGCCCGAGGTAACTACACAGACAAGTGTCACAGACTGTGACATGAGAGAAACAGGGAGGAAGCAGACTAAAGACTGACAGCTCACTCAACACCAGGCACACATCCATTCTGATGATCTGCTTTTTGTATGCTCCAAACATAGTCTAATGTCATTCTGCATTAACTCACTTATGAATAAAACATCCAATGGTATATGTACTTCAATACCAGCTGCTTGACATTCATTTTAAAATTGAGTCTCATTTGGGTCAAAATATGTAATCATTTGCTGAATGAATTTCCCAATTATTAAGCTGGGGCCTAGAATGCTTAACCAATGCCATATCTATCTTCCAATTTTTCTGATGCATGCTGTGCCTCCCTAGTATAGTGAATTCCACCGGACAAACTAGCCTTGATCTTAATTCTCTTCTAGATTGTCCACAAGACCACCGTTCTTACTGATTTCTTTCCTTTTTTTAGATCGGTTTTTAGCAAATTGATAATTGTCTACAGAGCAGTGGTTCCGGCTATAAGGCTAACAGGCAGGATAAGCCCGCCTGTCTTGTCAGATCGGCATTCTTCACAAGGCCGATAATCTTGAAATTTCTGGATAAGCTGAATGAATACACAAGCCCGGCGGTCTTATTAGAATTTGGTAACTATGCTTGTATTACCACTGCTGATCCGGATCAATCAGAGATATTTCACCCCCAACTTTTTCCCTGAGTCACATCATGGAATAAGGCAAGATGTCTTATATTCCATGATAATTAATTTTCAAGCACGTCTTTCTTAAAATTCCCCCTGAGGATATTTACAGTTCCCCAAAGTGTAACTTTATTGATATGACTGCATTTACTTTATGGTTAACTGACCCAAGCACTGCTGATGTCACCAAATAATTGATGTATGCTGATAGCTGCTGATTTCATCAAAACCTTGAAAGATCACACCACATTTGACTATGTAATCTTATTTGTGGTCACACCCAACTACATCATTGTTGATTTATTTGTCTCACTTCACAAATAAACTATAAAAAAGGGTCATAATAGGGGGTATCAAGTATAACCAAATCCACCATTACTTAATTGACTGGTTTGAAAAAATCCACCCTTTTCAAAACATGTTGGTTATCCATTTAACCCCTGTAGGGGCACATTGAGGCAAAAAAAAGTTTTGGGAAAAGTGACTGGTTTCTAATGGTGGATTTCCTATATTTGATACCCCCTAATCAAAGACATTTTCTGTGTTGAACCAAAGTATATACACACCTTTGTCATCAGTGCATAGCCTCCACTGGATGATGACAAGGGGCATGCATAAAACTTGCTTTTGGGGTCCAAAACCACCCAAACAGATTAATCACAATACTACTTAAACCGTACGTCTTCCCCCCGAGTGTTGCAACTTTCCACATTCCAAGAACAATCCCCCTTCAAATACCAAAATTTACCGAGACTTATACATATTCATTTAGTTACAGTTTTACAGTCTCTTCCTTGGTATGGACACTTCTATTCAAATGACTCCTGCCGTTGAAAAGTCACCAGAGACCACAAAAACTACTTCCGCTCCAGAAGAACATCCTGCATCTGCACCACCTCCAAGTGAGCCTTGATAAAAAAACTGCCCTCTCACAATCTCCTTCTTGTCTGAAGGGCCTTTGAATTGATCTACCACCTCTAAAATTCCATGCAGACCCCGCCACCTATGAAATGTCCTTCTCATCAGAGCAGCAACCCAAGCCAACCCCCCAAAGCAAATTGACCCCAACATTGCCACCCGCTGAAACCCTTACTGAGCTGCTTTTAAACTCAGAAATCCAGGAGATAAGTGAAGAAGAATTTTTAACCAGTCTGATCAAGAAAAGAGACCATGCCTTGGCCACTTCCAAATCACAATTCCCCAAATCAATCAAGGAAGATTTTGCTCGAATTGTGCTTCGTATGGATTGTATCCTCAAAGGTATGTCTTGCCTTTATCACACACATTTTCCTTTGCCACTAACACATATGAATTATGATCTTCAGATTACGAGTCAAACAAATGTCTTCCAACTGATGAAGCCATGCACAAAACCAAGCATCACTCGGGCTTCTGCTTCTGTACCCCCAAAACCAAAAAAGATGCAGAAATCCGAACAAAAATCGCATCCACCCGTTCCAATTACTTCTCACATGTCAACCACACCAAGTCAAGCTGAAAACCAGACTTCCCCAACAAACCCACAAGGGAACACTCAAGCCGATAAAAATGCGCCTACAGATGAAGTTTCAGGCCGTACAAACTGTGAAGACAAAACCTCATCAAATCCTCTCTCACCCGTGGATCCTGTTGGAGGACCTGATGCAGAAACTGATGACAAACAACCGAGCTCTCCTATTCCACCAAAAAACCAAGATTCTGCCAATCCGACTTGAATCCTCACTTGTAATCGCTTGAATCCACCCACTGAAAAATCTGGCCCATCAACAACATCTACCACAGAAAAACAAAACACGACAAACAAGAGACGCATTAGTGGCCAGAAGAAATGTGAAATCCCCGGAAACATTTGTGAAGAGAAGAGTTCTAGCTTACCCCCCCTCCTTCTGACATAGCCTCCAAACATCATACTGAAGCCAATTCATCACACCATACTGACAAGGATCAATCTCCCGCCAATGTCACTGGGCCAACCAAACTCCCTTCAGCTCAAAACAATAGTGAGACAAACACTGCTCTGATTTCCCGAGAAACATTCACCATCATTGTGTCTGAATCTTTTTGTAAGAAGATTCATGACCTGGTTCAAACGTTTCAAAAAGGTCGTGTTACCAAGCAAAAGTGGGAGAAAGTTTGGAATGCTCTTGAATACCTCTTGAAATTACGGCTCAATACTCCAGATGTATCCAAAATCCCAACCACAACTTTCATTTATAACAATGCCCTGTTCACGTATGAGACCTGGATCAAAGAAATCTCGGATACAGGTGAGTTTTTTATACATTCAAACCAAACTGATCCTGCTCAGTTCTAATATGAATTTTGTGTGGTTCCCAGCAACATCTTTCCTCTCTCATTCAGATTCCAAATTCTGGTTCTCTAAAGATATTTTTAATCTTGACTTTCTCAAGAAACAAGTTCACACGTCAAATCCAATCCTTCCTTACAATTGCAAAACTACCCATCCCGAGTCAAATCTACTTCGAACCCTTGCTTTTCTACTCAAGATCCCCATCAATTGGGTTTTGCAAGAGTGGGCTAAGACAGTTGCCCTTTTGATTCAAACGATTTCTGATGAGAATCCCAAAGCTCCCCAGATCACATCTGTCAGCCACAGATTACATATCACAGTACCTTTCATGTACCAAGTAACTGCAAAACCTGTACATAATTACATATGTACATATCCATAATGTTGTTTTGTTATGTTATTCTTATTCTTATCTTATTCATATCTTATCTTATTCATGGTTATCTTATTCATCTGTATCACATATGAAAAAAAAAGCAATTACCACGTATCTTTCACTCACTTATCCGTGAAATACTTGTACCACAAGTCATCCACCCTTTACAGTATTTTCTGTCTCAAGATCCATCAAGAAAAACATGTACATATACTGAATACTCAATATAATCTATATTCATTCTGAACAGATTCAATACATGTACTGATCTTAATAATGACCCCATTATTGAGAGATCTGTTAGTCTGTACAGATCATGATTCAATACATGCACTGATCTTAATAATTACCTCATTATTAAATAATGTGTTCATCTGCACAGATCATGATTCAATGCATGCACTGATCTTAATCATGACCTCATTATTGGATGATCTAGTGCCCTTCATGTTTCCCGTCTCCTCAATTCTGCAATATATAATCAGCCTCTCTTTCACTGATTAATCCCCAGAATATTCAGACACCAGTTAAAACAGTTAACATTTATATTGATACCTTTACACGTAACCAACATAAATCTAGTCTATTAGTATTTTTCTTAAGCTTCCGTCAACCACTCAACTTATCTACAATATTCATAGCCTTGCTGAATATTCCCGTCAACAATACCTATTAATCTTCAACTAATTTTGTTAAAGCTTAATAAGTATTGTTAGCCCATTCCCTTTAGGGAATAACCAAATCAATCCTAGGTGAGTCTTAGAACCCTGGATGCCTATTAATACCTTGTATTGATCCGGATGCGCTGTTGATAGCAAGCCTCTCAGTAAAGACCATATTGATAGAGTGACACCTCCTCATTACAGGACTGGTATTAACACCCACTACCTACTACTCACCCGCTCAAAACACTCTAGTAACAACCTTTTCACCTCTTAACACTCAGGTTAGTTACCCAGAGGCTGACAACATCAGGAGCAACTTCAATGAAGCAGCATGTACTAGTATTACAATGGCTCAACACTCTGAAGAACACAATGCCGACTCTACCACAGCTAACCAAAGGTTCATCAAACAATGTCGAGGAGATTGAAGCTACAAACACCTCAACTGCTCCCCCTAGTGATGCACTTAATGATTTCCATAAGGTCATCATCAAGATGATGATGTCCTACACCATAATTGAAGCTCATTCAAAAGATCAGTATAACCCTCAAAAAAAGTCAAAGAATAATGAAGGAACATCCAGAGCTGTTTCTAAGAAGAACCCTGATCATCAATCTCTTCAAAAAATCAAAAGTCGCCATAACTACCTCCCATTTATTCTTTATCTGCTTGGTGGTGTGCGCGGAATTTTTAACACCTCTCGGGACCACCGACAATATGCGATATGTGATACTCTTGAGGTCTTGCGCATTTTCAGAGAAATTCAATTGACCTCACCAACCAAATTCAAGTCTTCCAAAGAAGTGTGGGTAAATCTAGGCACCTACATTCGCCAAATTCTCTCTTCTGACATTCAAAACCCTGAAGATGTTTCAAAATTTATCATCCCTACCCGTCATGAATTAGCCAAGCGTATTGCACATGACTATATCAATCATACTAGTCAAGAATCTGACTTATTTAACATTCCACAAACACGTAGTATGCAATAACTCTCATGTGATATGTTTCCTCTGCAATTAAAAATTGTGAATGTTCAGTTGAGAAGATAACCTTGTGAGAAAATGTCCTGTGGAATCAATAAGAACGCCGGTCTGGTCTTAAGCACACCTTTGTACTGCTAGTACTGATTTGGATGAAATCAACATCAACTGTAAGACTTCCAGTCTTGAATTCTCTTTTTAATAGCCATGTTCAAGTTTCTTAAGACCGGCGGTCTTAAGAAACTTTGCCTTAAGACCAGCGGTCTTAAGAAACCTTGCCTGACCAGCAGTCTTAATAAACTTTGCCTTAAGACCGGCGGCCTTAAGACTGGCGGTCTTAAGAAACTTTGCCTAAGAAACTTTGCCTTAAGATCGGTAGTCTCAACCCCGCCGGCCTTAAGGAACAGACTACCACAGCCAAAAGATAATATAATTTGAATCCACTGTTCCAATTATTTATCTGAATGGAAACACACAAAGAAATTGCAATACTACCAAGCATTACAACACATCAATTTGAGAATGGTGATATTAATCGTTCCAATTTGTCAGGCTTAGTGATGCCAAGAGCAAAACTCTTCTAGCTACACTAGCTGCAAGAGCAAAGAATAGGATGTGTACACATGTGGGTGAGACGTGAAAAGTGGGGGAGGTGTGTGTAAATAAAAGAAGATAGTAAATAAAAACTGTTAAGTTTTTATTTACAGAGGGGCCTGAGTTACAGGGGTTTTTAAGGTGCCCTCTAATATCTGGTCCTGGGTTACAGGGGTGGTACTGATGTTCTAGTCCTTTTTAATAAAGGAGTATGCCCAGCAATAGCCTACAACTGAAGAAACAAAGAAATAATACTTACTAGTACTTATCTCTAAGCCAAGGAAGTCTTCAGGAGGGGAGAACTTTTCTTGAAGCACTCAGAAAGGTGGGTGAGAGAGGTTGGAGGAGTGCTGGGGAAAAGGTGTTGGTTGTTTGATGGAAATTCAGGTTGATAACAGCAGGAACAGGGCCAATGGGCAGTTGGTAACTGGTTGTTGGTGATGGTTTATGCTGGTAAGTAATGATGAAGATGGGGAATCAAAGTTCAGGGGGGAGAAGGGACTCTTAAATACCCATTCTGGGCCTCTGGGGGTGAACTCAGGAGTCTCTCTGGTTGCTGTAACTTTCCTACTAAGCCTATGGGAGTTTTTGATCATCTGTAGCACCTGTAGAGCTTGGTTACAGGTGTCAAGGAGATGATGTAAGGCTTGTAACTATGTTTACAGGGAGTTCTGACGAAACTGTAACACTCATGTAGCCTATGTCAGCACTGCATGAGGTATGGGCTGATCTTCAGGAGAGTGATTGTCCCAATTGGGCCAAAAGGGCCACAGATCATCCCAAACAGTTTAATACTGTAGTCTGTGCTCATGTAGTTAAGGTTTCAATGATGTAAACCTTGTTTGTAGATTTTTCCCGAACTATATGAACCTTAATTACACATGTAGCCCCCTTACAACCTGTAGTATGATGTAACTGGAGGGGTCTACCGTGTATTTTGGCCCAATATCACTTCAAGGGTTACAAAGTAAGTGAAGGAGTAAATATTAGGGGGTACACTTGGTGAGCTACCCTAGGTTATTTTGCATGTAGATTCAGAATCTGAAATAATATTCTGAGTTTTTTTTAAGGTTCAGAAGTTATTAATACATTCTGGTTAAAATGTTTATTTTTATTGTTTTATTTAATTATTTAGGTGTTTTCTTATGAAATACTACAATGTATGAGTACTGTGTAATAATGTCTCTATTATAGTGGTTCCACTTATTTAAATATTATATTTTTATTATTTATTTTATATGTACATGTGTTAGTAATAATATCTCTAATAAATAGATGCTTATGTTCAGGCTGGCTCTGATTAGTAGCAGGCTGACACAATTCAATCAGGCCGACATTTGTGTAATTCCATACATTCATGTTATTGCCCAAAATATTATTATTGAAGATATTTTATGAGACTGGGGGTGTTCACAAACATGATCCACTAGATACCCCAACAATTCATTTAATGGGTTAACAAAATAAAAGGAATTATTTTAACATTTACATTTATAGAAAACATACATTCTGAACAGTCTCTTTTTTTCAAAACTATAATCATGATATAGCTTGAATTTATTTTGGTTTAGGTCTACTTTTACTATCCTAAAACACAATCAGTCATCTCTTCTACTATTCAAAATTTTAACAAGACCACTGGTCTCATGAGACAATCATTTTCTGCATCCTTGATACCATCTTCTGATTTCCACTTTTGAATATTCTGTTTTTTTTTCTTCAATTTTTCACATTTTGCTCCGCGACCACTATCCAAATGAATTTTGAACCAGGAAAATGTATAAATGTTATTTTCTACAGTTTTTGATTTTGGACAGAGTGGAACATGTTTTGACATAAACTAAAACTCTACAATTGACTGGTACACTTTGTAACAAAGGTTTACCACCTCCACCTATGAGCAATAAAATTGTATTTGGTAAAGTCCTATTTTTGGTGAGCACAAAGAGTTCTCTATTATCATTTTCACTTATTAGGGGATATCAAATATAACCAAATCCACCATTATTTAATTGACTGGTTTGAAAAAATCCGCCTTTTTTTAAACATGTTGGTTATCCATTTAAACCATTTTGGGGCCCATTTATGCAAAAAAAAGTTTTTGGAAAAGTGACTGGTTTCTGATGGTGAATTTCCTATATTTTATACCCCCTATTTACTTCTTTTGAATGAAGAAAATGAAATATTAATGAAATTTGAATGTTATATTAAATTTTTGTAGACACAATGTGATACTGCAATTAATTGAATTCAATGTTTTCATATACCAAAATCTGTCCAAGCCATTTATTTACATCTTCTCCCCTACTCCCATCCATTTCCACATCAAGATTTTCAAGTACTATTTAGAATTTGAGATGGTGGTAATTTTGTTTCATTAATTCTCATTTTTTTGGAGGTTTGTCTTTTTAAATTTACATTACATTTATTTCATGTGGAGAATATGAGAGAGAGATTGCAATTTTTAAATCAAAATTTGTACAGTGGGTAGACAGTGAAAAGTGGCTGCTTATATTGGATTCCAGAGCTCCCAAACACAGACTTGAAGTTATGAGACTTGTTCTGGTGGTGCATAATAGGTCCTAAAAAATGAATATGAAAAAATAAAAACAAAAAGTAAAGTTTCAAAATTTGTGAAAAATACAAAATAAAACTGATTTTTTTCAAAAGCTTTGATATTCATTTTGGGGGAGTGAGAGTGCTGAGAGAAAGAAAGAGTGGAACATGGAAAGAATGATTATAAATGAAAAAAATTGGAACCAAAAAAGGTTTGGCCAGGTTGGTGGTCCAGATTGGAGCCAAAACAGTAAATTCTAGTGCTTTGCTGCAATGTGGGCTGGTGAATGCCCCACTCAACAGCTGTTTGAAGCCCTCTGAAAACCAGTTTTTCCAAAATTTTCATTCATAATCATTCTTCTCATTTCCCAATCTTTCTTTCTCTCAGCACTCCCACTCCCCCAAAATGAATGTCAAAGCTTTTGAAAAAAATCAATTTTGTTTTTTATTTTTCACAAATTTTGAAACTTTATTTTTTGCTTTTATTATTTCATATTCATTTTTTGGGACCTATTACACACCACCTGACCAAGTCTCATGATTTCAAATTTGTGCTCTGGAGCTCTGGAATCCAAAATAGGCAGCCACTTTTCACTGTCTAGGCACTGTACTCATATAAACACTGGTTTTTTTGAATGAATGTGCATGTTATTTGGATTTTCTTATAATCTTCTATTCAACTCTAGAGTCTTGGATTTGGTGAAAACCAAAATCCAAAGCGCTGAAACATGCCATCTGCGTTGAAAAAGACTGAAAACATATTCAATAGGTTGGCTTGTACTGGACATTGTTATTTGTGTTTTGGTGCTGGTTGTTAATTTACATTTGAACAACTTGCTTTTTATATCTGTATCATTTTCACATCCACCTCAATGAATACATTTCTTGAGCTGTCAGCCTATGTGATGCCAAGACAAGTGTCTTCTAGCTACACAAGGTGCAAAATGTAAGAGTTTTGAAGGTAAAAACTCTGGGATAAAACTGGTACAGTCAATTCAAAAGAATTACTAGGAATTTATGGATTAAGTCCAAAAAATGGCCAATTTATATTAATAGAATTAATATAAACAAAACCAGAAGGGCCTGATAAATCAGGGGTGGTTTAATCCCTCTAAGGTATCGTGCAAAAAGCAGAGGATTTAGGTACCTGATACACTGGGGCCTGTAACAGGTGTGGTTTAAATCCCAGGAGATAATTTTAAGGGGAAAATCTTCAAGAAAGGGTTATTACTTACTAGTAATAATCCTAAGGGTTATTGAGGATCTTCTTAGTAGAAACAGGACAGTTGGGAGCGCTCAGAATGGTTGATTTTGGGTGCAGGGTGATCACTGGGGAGTTTCTTGAGGAATCTTGAGGCTTAATAACAGCAAAAATAGTAGTAACTAGGCTAATTACAAGTGTAGGGGACTTGTAAATGGTAAGTATGTTTCTATATGGTATTGTAAAGCTGGGGGATCATTATTTGGGCGGTCAGAAGGCCCCTTTAAATACCTGTGGGAGGCATCAGGGGTTGCTCAGGGGAGCTTAGTAGGACTTGGGGGCACTTTTGGGCCCATTTTGGCCCACATGGTGATGTAACCAGGGCTGGAACCTTGGGGATAATATTCCAGAAGCTCCAAGGGATCATGCACAAAATTATTACAGCTAAGAATGTCCCATGGGAACCTGTGGATAGGGGCTACTCTGTTACATGGAGCAGGTTCCTTGGAAATGGGCCACAGAATATTCCAGAGATGCCTTCTGAGGCTTGCTACACGTGTTACCCACTGGAATATGGTTACTGTAGTATTTTCATGGAAATTCTAGCTTGTTCACATTCTTATTACACGTGTGGGGGCTTTGTTGTCACATGTAATGGGGATTCTGGGGCTTTTGTGGCCCAATCCTTGGATACTGGTGCGCAGCATGACTACGTGGCGCGTGGGCTTGGAGACAGGACTCCACACTGCTCTATCTTCTAAACCGTGAACAATACTCCAATTCTGAGACTGGATTTGGAGTATATGCATTATGCATTATGCAGAAGTGTCACAGTACCCGTGATCTGGGGGTATCTGTTAATTATTCATGCATGTATTACAGGGTGAAGGAGTTGGAATTTGGGGTACCTTTGGCTGAGGTACCCCAGGTTAAATTGTATGCTGATTTAGAATCTGAAATAATATTTAAGGTTTTGTTTATACTTTTTAAGTTATTCATTTATTTTTATGTATTTTTTATCTTATTTACATAAGTAATATTGTTTCTTTTACTTATGTAATATTTTTAATTTATACTTAGATTTTTTATGTAATTTATTATTTTATTTGCTATGACAGGTTGTCTCTGCCATAGTAGCAAGCTGACATGAGCAGACATCGGTAATTTTGATCCTATTCAGACTACAGATTATTTTGTCTCTCAGTATTTCACTTATCAGAATCCTTACCAGCACCCATTTCATTTGTGAATGAAATTCCATATAATTCTCAATTGTGCAGGTGCAATTCTCATACTTTCTGTGGAGTGCTCTAACATAATTCCTGGCCCATATTTTCCTGTTTTCTGAGCCAGATTCATGGAATTTCATATTTTCATCCAGCTAAAAATTATATACTTGCAAGGTACACTAATTTGGGCATCTCCCCTCAAATGGAGTAGATTGGTCCTCAATTCATTTCAAGGAGAGATGGATTTGAATTCCTACAGAAACACACTTCAGTGACTTATCAGTTGCAACCACACCTTTCACAAGTATTTCACTAAATAAATGTGTCAAATTCTAGATACCTGTCATGACCCACACCCTCAATCTACAGGTCCTCTCATTCCCTTATCAATTCGCCTGTTAAACTCAAGAGCAATTTCATCTCGTCTCACAAACTGGTGAGTCGCTCTTCACCTCCCTTTTTCCATCATCTTTCTAGTTACTTCACCCTCTCCTCAGGCACACATTTCCACATGACAGAAATTTGTAAGTCACCATGTTGTTGTTCAAAACTTACTCGTTCCTATTTCTGAACAACTTTTCATTTATCCTTTTCATCCAAAGCTGCATTTCATCATTCACACTGAGGTGAATACTCTCCTGTAAGTCTTCAATCGCTGATCTCTTTTGTGATTGCTTGCAATGCAAGATAAACTTACCAGTTGATCCTCCTTTAAATCACAGGTAGCGTGATTGCACTTGCAAACAAAGGGTCTTGTTTTCTTGAAAACAAATTCGTTTTCAGGAAAACAAGCTTGATTGCTTGAAAACAACCTTTTTTTTTCATGACAGCAAGCTTTTTTCTTTGCTTGCTTGGAGGTGACCTCGTCATCTTGAAAACGATTTTGCTTGCAAGAAAGCAAGCTTGTTTTCAAAAAAAAATGAGCTCGCTTTCAAGACAATGCACTTGTTTTTTTGAAAGCAATCATGTTTTGGAGTGATCTAGGCCCTGATTATAAACAATATTTCCATTTTTTTTATTTTTTTTTGAAAAGTATTTGAACTTTTTTTCATTTCTTTTTCATTTCAAAAACACGCTCAAAAACTCTCAAACCACCTCCGGAGGTGGTTTGAGATCTCAAAAACTTCGATTGGGCAAAGAATACAGAAGTCGTGTCAGGTTTGTCCTGTATGATGACAAATCATACAGCACCTAATGCTCACACTGGATCCTGTGGATACCGAACCAATCTCACCACATCCCCGACCGACCTCTCCAACGGCATCGGCCAGAAACATCACACCCACCCGGCTTTCAGATACCAAGTCAACACATCAATGGATTCCCACCTTCATACATCCGGTAACCTACTCACCGCCAACGGCTTGCTCCTGCACTCCTATTGGCCTCTCACCAACTCCACCTACTGGTTGCTCGGCCATGACGACCAAATGCACAACCATCCACTCAAGGGCAGGGCGACCAACATTGAAGTAATCGGTGGAGGATACGGGACCCCGTCAGAAGCTAGCGGTCCAGTGTCTGAATTGATCGTCGGGGCGCAGACTATGGCTTCTTTGGGTTTGTCGGATCCAAGGACGGTGGGGCAAGCAACTCCCCCCTCGGGCAACTTGACTCCGGCGGCCCCAGGTCGAATCAATCCGTTCTTAGCCTCCGCCGGAGCGGAGACGCGTTTGAAATCTTCTTCAACCCGGAAGCAGAACCGCACCCGCGCCAAAATTGATGCTGACAAAGCGGTCACTGCAGCTAAGAAGGCCGAGAGGATCCAAAAGGCAGCTCAGAAGCAGGAGGCTCAAAGACAGAGGCTCTCCGCGAAGGAGGCCCGTGCGGCCTTGAAGGTATCGGATGCGGGGACGCCAACCCCTAGGTTTGTGTGGTCCAAGGAGGCCTTGTTAGAAATCTTACGTTATGTTAAGGAGATCAAGGAGGAACACGACGACCTGATCGAGCGGACCCCTGGTTTCATAGCTTGGACACCCTACTTCCTCAAATGCAAGGCCGACCGGGGTGACTACCCTCTCCTGATCGGAATTGCGAACGATGTCATCCTTCGGCGATATCGAGCGTTGATGAACATGTGGAAGGTGGGGGTTTTTGTCTCCTCGCTTCATCGGGTATAACCCAATCTGACGCGCTTTCTTTGGATGGGGCCCTGCAGGTTGTTTTTGACAAGCTGTCTCATTCGGGAAGCGGGGGACTATATAAAGTTTTAGCCAAGGAACACCTATCCGAGACGGTGAGCCGCAATTGTAAACTTGACCTGGCTGGGGCTTTTGTTGACCTGACGGATACTGACCCGTGTGGATTCCTAGATTTGGGATTTCATCAATGCAATGCACGGGGACAACGCGGCGGCTAATGCACATGGGCATGCTGAACTGGACGATGACCTTGGGGCCCTCTTGTGTGAGGATGGCCGTGGAGAAGGCCGGGAGGCTCGGACGGGGGCCAAGGCGGAGTCGTCCCAGGGGGCGAGTCAGCTGCTTCGTGATTGACAGGGGGTCGCGGGCCTGACAGCGGCCGAGTTAGCGTTGGACAACTCGGATAATGAGGATCTTGATAATCCCAATCAGACGACGATGGGGGGAGGCCCCGTACCGGAGTTCTCGCTTTTCGATGGTATCCCCAGGGCGCCGGCCTGCCCACTGACCTCAACACAACCCGATCCCACGCCAATTCAGGCGCCACCTGCACCTGAGACTCCCGCCCGGGTTGCCAGTGCGATGCCAAAGCCACCACCGGCCGGCCCGAATCCTACCCGCCGACGGGGGCGAACTGAGTTGAACAAAGCCGATGATTCTTCGGCACAAGCCCTCTTGATCATGTTTCAACAGTCACAGGATCAACAGGAGGCCGCACGGGGGTTGATAACCACACGCCAACCCCCATGGCGCACGCCAATCCGCACACCAGGCGCAGATTGGCGAGCGCGCCTGCACGCCAATCTGCTGCAGGGGAGTTGGCCTGAGGGAGAT